AGGCTTTTTGGGCTCTTGAGCCATTTGTCCTCTTTGTTTCTTCTATGTTCCTCGTCGCATGGTAAGTCTTCCTACAATTTGTTTTGATTTTATTTGTTCTTTACTGAACTTGGCAGTTTTAAGACGTGATTGATCAAATTCCTTTTTTTTCTTTACTCTTCTATCTCGTAATGTCGAGCACTGGTTTTTGGAAATTTTCTCTATTAAGACCCACTTTTATGCTACGAATTTCTAATTTCATTTTTCCAACTCGTACAAAACGAGTAGAAGCCTAACGTAAATTGGTTAAGGAGGAAAAGTTGAAAAGGGTGGCTTTTTTGTAGCTTTTCTGTAATTCTAGCTCTGAGTTCAAATGGTTATCTTCCTTCCTGATAATCTTCTTGGCTCGATGTTCCGTCATACCTATCCGAATAGGGTCACTCAATCAATATGCTCATGTTAGTGTTAATTGCGTAACTGCATCCTATTTGCATAATAGCTTGTTACTGTCTCCTTTCGACCGTCCCTAGCATCATCATCGTGAGTGACCATCAAGAACCGAAAGAATATTGGCTCCGACCTCTCCAGGATATAGCATTCTAACTAATAATGACGGCTATTTGTGGTATTGTGCACTGAAGGTCCTGGCCAATTTTCTTGGCGCCAGTGCGCTTATTAGGTGCCGTTCGGCTGGTGGCACAAACACACAATGATAGGCGATTTGAGTAATGACTGACTTTGCGTTCTTTAATCGTCTTTCTTTAAGGCCTTCATTTTTCGTTGAGTTGATTGATGATGAGTGTGAATGGAAGATCAGGTGTGAGAGATTTTGATTGGCGAGTGATATTCGATAGGCCACAACTGTCGCTCTCACCTCAGTTGTAGGTGTAAAATAGGATGGATGGCGCTGGCAATACCTCACACACATACGACGAACGCGTCAAGTCAATTCCGCTTTGCCTGGATGGCATTCAGACTCAGGGAAATGGAGGCCATTGGAAAATGCATTGCAGATTTAGACGGGATTAGTTTCTGAATCCATTCCTACTTGTTATTGCGTTCCATTTCTTCTTTTTGGAATGCACACAAATTCGATTACTGGATTTGTCGCGGTTGGGTTGTTTCTATGTTAGTAGTAAGCAGTGCAATCAATGAAAACTTTAGACGTGAAAAAAAGCTCATAAATTCATTGATGCTTAGTAAACTTTCATGCTTCTTGGCACTTTTTTATTTAGCGTTTTCTTTCGGAAATCAAGGATATTTTTATTTAGCATTTTCTCCTGGGAATCAAGGAGACATTTTTATCTGAAACCAATACCTTCACAGGCGGTTTTCCTTTCAAGGTCCTCGAAAAGCGTTCTTTTGCCACACTTGACGGCTCGCAGTGATTTATCATCGCTGAGTTTCATCGCGTATGATGGACGAACGGGCTCGGTTCGGGCGTCTCGACGGAAAATTTTTAGCATATGCATGAGGTTGGAATGGGCCCTCGGAGACCTGGGCAATGTGCTGGTCAAGACAAAAGAATATACGCATTAGTGCGCGACCCACTGGCTCGAACCCAGTCATTAGGCATGCTCATCTTTCCGTCACACTGATTCCCATGTACCTATGTGTTTGGAGGAGGAAGGGCTAGGAAAGGAATGGTAGTGGTCTTGACGGCTTTTGGAGCCGTTCTGTCGCCCTTTTGACTTGTGGTTTAGGATTTCTTTGCAACAGTTTTGCAGCGCACCAGTACTT